TTTACAAAGACTTTACCCAAACCAGTGAGCTGTGTTTTCAGTTGCTTTATAACCTATAGGAACACTCCTCTCCCACCATGAACAACCTCTGGCTCCATAAACTACAGTCTGCCAAGTCCACATCTTGACAGGAGCAGTGATAAGTTTGTTTAGCTGTCAGGAGAGGTTTCCGGTACCACTCCTGCACCACAATACGGCCACTACTGCACCAGTGAATCATGTTAATGGCTCTTCAGGACTGGTTCTCACGTGGTAAGTTGGAAGAAAAAAAAAAAAAACAACAACAACCGTTTGCCAAAAGATAACATTTGGGAAGTCGACGTTGTGTGTATCTGGGAGGTTCAGTTCCTGCGATTGGCAATACATACATAGACTGTTGTTGTGTTTTTGGGCAAGGCACTTTTCTCCATGCATTCATTTGTTTTCTGGAGTGAACGTGAAGTAAGATATGCGACCATGAGCGTGACAAAGGAGTGAACGAATCGAGAAATAAATCGTACTACGGTAATCTTAAAGGTGCACTGTGTAACTTTACTGGTAGAGGGTCCGCCACCTGCTTGTATTCCTTTGGACTGGAATGATCGACTACAGTATGGCAATAAGCTTATGCATTTCCATGGCAACGACACCAGGGTAAGTTACAGGTCAGATTTGTGAACTGGGGACCCTAGTAACTATAGGAATGCATGTTTCTATGGTATTTTTTCCAACTAAAAGACAAGTAATGAAATAAATGCTGGATAGATGTTTAATGCCATACTGTGAAACATTACGCAGAGCACCGTTAAACTTTTCTGATCGTCTCCAAATAGAGGTTATTGCTTTGCCTGGAGTGTTCCACAGTACGGCATTAATCTTGCAAATATCTCCATAAAGACATAACAGGTGACGCCAGAGGGCCTGAGTATCTTTTAGCAATCAAAAACACCAGTAATGGATTAGGCAAGATCAACAGCCTTTTAAGGTTTAATGCCATACTGTGGAACATTCCAGGTAGAATAATAACATCTCCATGGAAATAAGCAGGTGGGGGACAATCTACTAGAAAAATTAGTCAAAACTAATCTAAAAAAATAATTAAGTAACAGCTTTATTTAATCATAATTTAAAAGTCAGGTTGGGATATGTGCAAAAATAGGAAAATAAAACAACCAAACCAAAAGATAGTATCAAAGTATAAAAGTATAGCAGTTAGGGTTGTCAAAAGTAGCCAAAATCAGAAACTAGATACTCATTTGAGCAGGTATCAGTTCTAAAAAAGTTGCTTTCACAGGACAGAAGTGAACCTTTCCTGTATCAGAACAAGTACAAGAGCAGTGTCTATAGTTACCTTGCCTTGCCTTGCTACAGTTGCCTTGACATCAATTGCCCCCCACCTTGACTACATCCCTCCAAACCACGTGCATCCTCGCAAAACTACGGTTGTTACGTCCCAGTCCTCACTTTCGACTTTTGCCCCGGCACGGTATCGCCGCCGCCACCGACCAATTTTCTGCAGGAAACACTGAAGAGCACACACAGACTCGTATGTACCCATGGACCACTACGGAACCACCCTGGACCACTGAGGGATTACACAGATAATAGTACTTTGGGTTGGCCTTATTAAATGTATAAAACCACATTCTACTGCCTAAACCTTACATTTCTTCAATTACAGGTGGTTTTATAGCTCAAAAATACCTAGAAAAACATGCATTCTGAGTGAGTGGGGTTGCCTCTCCACAGATCTGACCTGTAACTTTGTCTGGTTTGGTCTCCGTAGAGATAGAAAGGTTTAATGCCATACTAATTTAAAGTTTAATACTAATTCCAGACGAAGCAATAACATCTTCATGAAGAAAAGCATTTGATGGACCCTCCACCAGAAAAACAATGCACCTTTAACTGCCATTGTAGTCAGTATAAAAAATTGCGTCTATTCCTTAATGTCATAAAAGTTTGACATTTTATTGTAATATAAGTAGAAAACTAAAATGTACTCTTTTTTTTTCCATTAACCCTTTACAGACTGTATTTCCAGGGCGCACGTGATGACGACATAGCTCTCTGTATCCGACACCTGAGCACTTCCTCATCTCCTTTCACTGCTGGGCCCGTCTGCTCCTCTATCTCTCCTCCTATACCCCTCAGTCTATCCCTCTATACAAAAAAGACACAGGACACTCAAAGCTGGTCACCTTAGCCTCCTCCGAACCCTTTAAAGGTACAGCGGCGCTTTGTAAACAGACCTGACTTCTAACAAGTTCAAAAACACTTCACCAGCGCCCTGCGGTAATGTGATAGGGGCCCACGCAGACAGGATATAACCCAGGGCCATCCAAACTCCGGCTATTACTGCTCATATGTTCAACAACTTCTCACACACAACGTAAACAGTAACAAGAGCCTGCTACACACTTCCTGATTCTGTAGCTGTGGGGAGGACAAAAAATCTACATTACAGTATAATATAAGATTTTAAAGGGGCTTTGCTCACCTCTAGATTTCTGAGCTTTACGGGGAATTTACATTAATTTTTGGAGACTGATCCAAACCTTAATCATATCACTACTTGCCTAAACATAAAGAGAACATATTACCGTATTTTCCGCACTATTAGGCACTCTGGATTATAAGGCGCACCGTCATTGAATGGTCTATTTTCGAACTTTTTTCACAAATAAGCCACATCGTAATTTTAAACGAAACACAACAGTTAGATGGCTCAGTCGGACTTTCTTTGGCACGTTCGGTGACTCTCGGCTTGGTTCAGTTGTGGTGTGTAGGGAGGGTGCTGTCTGGGACCGCTGGATTGTCAGCGTGTTCGCAGTGACTCAGTTGTTCAGTCGTGTCTAGAAGTGGCATATTGCACTCGCTTTTTCGGTTTGTTCCTCCGTTCCGTTCCTCGTCCGCGTGGAGTGATGAGTGTGGCTGCGGGTGTGTTTTGCTGCGTGGTCGCTGTCTGCTCCGTGCGTGTGGTGTGACTTTGTAGTTTACTGAAGTCGTGCTAGGACGCCTGAGTGGTTTCATGTATAGGGCGCTCTGGATTATGGGACACACAGTCGTTTCTTGATGGAGTTGGAGGCTTATGAGCGCGCCCTATGACGCGGAAAATACAGTACGCTATTTTCTGATGTATGTTATAATGCAGTTTCCTCATTACCAACATAACTGGTGTTTTTTGTTTCGTTCCAAAATGTTTAACACACAAACCCTGCGTATTTAAGATGAGTTCTTCCCTCAAACACATAACAATCTGTTCCATCATGTGATGTCATGTGGTAATACAGGAAGTGCTTCACTTTGTTTTTAAACTCCATACACCTTCACTAGAATCATTTAGATGATTTCAAGCCTGGATTTGCCAATCTGTTAATCTAAAAGGTAAGAGGTAGCTGTTAACTTGAAAATTACGGCTTTTTGTATTTTCTGCAAGCATTTTAAAATATTCTTTTCAGTGTATCTCCCACCTTTACCACTACTTCTCATTTTACAGTGTACTTCTCTGCTCCTTAAAACAGGGAAACCGCAAACTTGTATCTCTCTTATTAGACAAAGCAGCACAAGCAGAGGAGCTACGACCGGCCGCCCCGGGAATTAAAACCCTCTGCCCCTCTCCCCCTCTCTCTCTTTCTCCCTCTCCTTCCTCCCTCTCTCCTCTTCCCTTCCCATCTCTCCCCCTCCCTCTATCTCTCCTTCCCTCTCCTTCTTCCCCCTCTGATTTCTCACTCCCCACTTCTCCCTCTCTTCCTCTATCTCCCCTTCCCCTCTATTCCTCCTTCTTCCACCCCGCCTTCTACCCCTCTCCCACTCTTTCCCTCTGTGTCCCTCCTTCTTCCCCCTCTCCTGTTAGTGACTCAGCACTGGTTCCCATGCAGTGCCCGCCCCCCATAGACAGTAACCCGACACCAGAGCGTGCAGGGGCACTGAGGCAGGCGCTGTCCCAGCCTGTGTGGTCCCGGCCGGGGCAGAGGAAGCAGAGACGCTGGGGGACAGGTGGGCACACAGACACAGCGACTCCGAAACAGGACAGGTGGGGGCATCCGTCAAATCAGAAATCTCAAATTGTGAGAAGTTAAAAGGGCTAGTGATTTCAATTCTTAGTGAACAGTCAATAGCAGCACTGTTTAGAATTTTCTCAAATTTTTTAACTTGTACTGTGTAACTTTTCTACGTAACCTTCTTCTCTTCATAGAAAAGTTATTGCTTTGCCTAGAATGTTTCCCAGTATGGCATTAAACCTATCTATCTCCATAAACACAAGCCAAAAAAAGAAGCCAAGTCACTTATCAGATCTGTGGAGAGGTGACAATGCTCATGGTAAAAAAGCTAATTATTCTAAGCTTTTTTTTTTTTACATCTGCAGCGGAATAGATATGAGATGGCCATACTGTGAAACATTCCAGACAGAGCAATAACGACTCCACAGAGACAAGGAGTGGCAGATACTTCACCAGAAAAGCTACATAGTGCAGCTTTAACTTCACACGTTGAATAGAAATCATCTTTCTGAGAAGCCTGATATATAGACAGATAAACTAGTGCATTTCAGATGTATAAGTCCACATTGAAATAAGATGTTTTACTGTTTGTGGTGTAGAAAACATTAAAATAACCAATCAACATTATCTTATTGTTAACAAAGGTTTAGGGGCCGAGTTTGGGGAGGGTAACATGTCTGCTCCAGTACACAGACTTTCAGACAGTGGCAGGAGCACCAGAGCGACGGGTGAAGTCTGCAGGGGCCATTTGGATGTTTGTTAGCTCAGTTGGTCAGAATAAAGCGTGAACTTGTCTCCTGAATCGTGACGCAGTTTCTACCAAAAAGGTAAACCATGCTAAAAAACACATTTGAATAATTTTTGACCTTATGATCTTAGTGATTAAAAGGAAATATTTTCAGTCTCTGCATTGGGTATGAGTAAATACTTAAAAGGCAAAGTGTCAGCATCAGTATCAGAACAGAAAAGGCTGGATCAGTGCATCCCCACAACGCAGTGAGTGTCTGGATTACTCACTGTCGAAGTGGCCGTGTCTCTGTCTGAAGGTGGACTGCAGGTTGGTGCTGAGCTGAGACACTGGAGCTTTGATTTCGCTGTGGCTCTGCTGGCTCAGCTTCTCCTCCATCTCCACAGTGCAGCACGAGTAGCCCTGGGGACACACTTTCAGAGGGGCTCCTGCAACACAACAGCAAAACACACGGTTACCTTATAATCTTAATAATAATATTAGGTGCAGGATCAGGGATAATAGAGGTCAGCCTAACGGCAAAGACATAATGTCAAGACACTAAATTACAAATTCCCCCGACTTATACATGATTATAAAAGAGTATTAGTGGAGATCTGTATTGATGCGGTGAAACAGAACATATACATTTGTCATTTACACTTAAAACAATTGGAAAAACAGACATTTGAAAGCTAAAAGCATGGTTAACTTAAAAGGTGCACTATGCAACTCGTGCCTGGGATGTTTCACAGTATTAGGGCTGGGTATCACTCAGAAGTTGCTGATATGATACGTTCTTTCGATGCAGTGCACGTTCGATTCAATACGATTCGATATGATGCATTTCAAATCGATTCACTACGGTTCATTGAAAAACACTTAAATCATGGCTGTGATACTAAAAGTCTGCTAAGTCCACTAAGTTTGTGCAAAGTAAATATGAAAATCACCCAGTTTACTCATCAAAACAGTGAAAATGTCAACACAATCGTAGCTCTTACACAAAATTATTTAGTAAAATGTACCGAAAATTTCTTTTACCGATGTATTCATACAGCAGCCCACGATATCCATACTGTATCACCAAATTAGCCAATACGCGATATCGATATTTCAATATTTTTGCACACTCCTACACAGTATGGCATTAAATTAATCTACCTATTCAGTCCAAATTATATGCCAGAACTGTGGATGCAAGATGATTTGTATGCCTCAGTGTGGACCATTCAAGCCAGGGAAAACATCTCCACGGAGACAGTGTAGGTAGAGGACCCACTCTCGCTCACTAGAAAAGTTACGTAGTGCAACTTTATTATGAGTACTCAAGCTCCTCATCATGCGTACTTTCAACATTTACAGGCGTTCTATTCCTCATTCCTTGTCCTCAAATCATGTTACAAGTTGAATAAAAATTAAGAAAGTGAAGACCATTTTCCATTTTACAACTTCTATCTTATGGGTAAAATGCTTCTTCGTTTTCCAGTTATAACAACTATAATACTGATGATAAAAAACTGACTAAAAAAGTCAAGCAAAATGGCTGACTCCTCCATACTTCAGCCCAGACGTGAAAATATGAACCACGCTGGCCACGACTCACAGTGAAACAAAGCCAAAAAATCTTCGTGAAAACGCATCCACAGCAGAAGCAGCAGACGACGGGCAAAGCTCTGGTCTGAAAATCTGACAGTGTTTGGGCTTTTCTGTGGACCACTGGAAAAACTCACCTCTTTATTTATCCGTACCAGACCAGAGCGGCGGTGATTAAGCTGTCAAATCCAGTCTATGTTCAATCTAACTTCACTAATATGGGCATGTCAGGACTGTCAAATTTAAGCTAATAGGGCAGCAGCATCTTATGAAATGCTAATATGCAGTTTTGGTGTCAGTCTCGTGATTTAATCTGCAATAAATGTCAAGCACTGCAGACTTGTGTTTCAATTCCGCGTTAACAAAAGTGAAGTATTATTACTATACAACTCTTATAATCAATCAACAATAATCAATCAACAATCAATAATACTAACAGGACTAGATGCAGAACTGAACCAGAACTAAAACTGGAGCTGAACATATCCATTTTAAACACACTATATGCCCCTGATAACAGGACGTGCAGGTAGACATGCGTCGTTGAACTGTGAGGAGAACCAGGACCCAGGCCGGGACTCAGGCCGGGACCCAGGCCGGGACCCTGGCTGGGACCCAGGCCGGGACCCAGGCCGGGACCCAGGCCAGGACTCAAATCAGTAGCAATATTTTGTGCAGTGCAAGCAGGTATACAAGCCTCAGGTATTGAGACTTGTGGAACAGCCGGGACTCAAGCCGGGACTCAAGCCGGGACTCAAGCCGGGACTCAAGCCGGGACTCAAGCCGGGACTCAAGCCGGGACTCAAGCCGGGACTCAAGCCGGGACTCAAGCCGGGACTCAAGCCGGGACTCAAGCCGGGACTCAAGCCGGGACTCAAGGCTCAAACCAGGACTCAAGGCTCAAACCAGGACTCAAGGCTCAAACCAGGACTCAAGGCTCAAACCAGGACTCAAGGCTCAAACCAGGACTCAAGGCTCAAACCCAGACTAGACCTTAGCCGTCCTGTGCTCTTGCTGGTTGTAGCTGGTTGTGGGCTTATAGGTGGTGCAGGTAGACAGCCCTCAGTCATTGAACCTTGTGGAAAACCAAACATCACTCTGAAAGCTCCTCTGTTCCTCAGCTCGGCCCAAACATTTTCACAGCTGGGGCCTGGGTTCTGCCCCTGTCACTACCCTCCCCATTAGCCCCAATCACAGCCCTGTTTTCACTACAGATATCAGCTTTGATTAGAAGCGTCAATGAAGAGACGTTGGCTTGTCTGAAGGCAGGTACTAATACGGCACATTTCACTGACACAGACAGACACGGTTCTCACGCTAGTGGTTTCGAAAAATGCACACCTCCACAAGTCTCACCCAGAAACTCCAGAAACAGTTTTACCTAGAAAAAGATGTGAAGTGGAGAAAATGGACAACTTAAAAATACGTCTGTACAATTGCCATTCTGTATAGACAATTGAATTTTAATTTATATATTTAATCAGAGATAACACACCAAAATATTAAATAGAAAATAGAAAATGTTCTGTAAAAATTTGGCCAAAAAAAAGCTTTTCTAGTGGGGCATATGCAACTTGCTCGTCCCCATGGAGATCTAATTGCTTGGCTTGCAATCTTTCACAATATGACAAACAGTGTTGGGGAGTAACAGATTACATGTACCGGAGTTACGTAATCAAGTACAAATTATGAGTAACTGTATTCGGTTACAATTACTGTTTCAGTGAGTGGTAATTGGATTACAGTTACTTTGTTGAAATAAAAGGATTACAGGGCGGTATTTTACTGTTTTCACATTTTGGGCTACCCGCCCCCCCTTTTATTTTTTCCTTGGAGCCAAACCAGGACTAAACCAGGACTAAACCAGAACTAAAACCAGGACTAAACCAGGACTAAACCAGGACTAAACCAGGACTAAAACCAGGTCTAAACTAGATCTAAACCAGGTCTAAACCAGGTCAAAAACCAGGTCTAAACCAGGACTAAACCAGGATTTAACAGGATTAAACTATCAATAATATTTTTAATACGGTTAAGTAAAGTCTGGGCTTTTTATTTTCTTTTAGTAAACAAAAAACTATATCAGAGTTTTTGCTTCTCTACAGCAAATCAAGTAATTCAAAGTATTCAGATTACGTTACTCACTTTAAGTAATTTAATGGATTCCGTTACAAACTACATTCTGGGGTATGTAATCTGTAATCTGTAGGGGAATACATTTTAAAAGTCACCTTCCCAACACTGATGACATAACATTTATTTTTTTCATGTATTCAATTTCAATTTCACTAAAGCCTCAGACAGAGCATGCCTACAGTTAGCATAACACACTCAGGAAATGTTGATGCCATCAGCTGCAAAGTGTCAATAGTTCAATCCACTTATTACTTATCCACAAAAATAAAAGTTCCCGATTTCTTTTTCTTTTTTTGTTTTTACTTCTGTTATTAAGTCGGTTGTGTCCTGGACCATTCTCAGGAACAAATTACTCAGCTTTCTTATCTCTTTTTGTGAAATTTCTCAAAGCAGTTGACAGGCAAGATTGGGAAAACTTGTTGGAAATAAACTGGTATAATTTATTTAAAATCTGTGTTATCATTTTTGGCCTTTTCTTACCAAAGTCTGTTCTGGGACAATGGGATTTCTCGTTACCTCAGCTTTTGGATCACTGAGTTATTCCTCTAAAACCTCTTAAAGTTGTTTTCATTTTTCGTTGTAGTCGTAATAATAAACCTCCATCCGTTTCATTAGACTGTGTTTGGATGAGAGAGCCTGTGCATGTTTTAAATGTTATCTCAGATGCTTGGACCACTGTAGAAAAGGGGAGCTGTTTTAAAAGCTTCAGGAGGCTCTAGTGTTCGGGTTCTGCATTATCAGCTTTCCCAGCGTAATGATTTGAGGGCAAAACATTTTTATAGTTCAGATTTCAAAATGGAATTGTTTACTTAAATCGTAGAAATGATGAAAGAAAGATGGAAAGTTTAAAAAAAAAAGTGCAGTAGAAAACACTAGCCTCAAAATGCTCCGTTTGCTTCGTTTTTTGGTCCCTAGATTAAACCATGGACCAAACTCTCCATTGTTCATTTATTAAAGTACAGGTCTTTTTAGTTCTAAAACAGTATCTTAAAAACATGCATTCTTATTGTGAGAGTCATCTCCTCCCCACAGATCTGACCAGTAACTTGACCTTATGACATCATCTGCTTGTCTCTAGAGATAGGTTAATGCTATACTGTGGTACATTCCAGGCTAGGGCTAGGCGATATGGCAAAAAAATTATTATTTTTTTTCACTTTTTTGCACACATTGGACGATTACAATTGTGATGGATTTTAATCAAAGTCAAAGCAGATACTGCATGTCTTTCAAACAGGAAGCTCTTTACATTTTCATTTGTATCATATCCTGTTATTTTAGAAATTATAAACTGCCTTCACTTACTTTTGTATAGATAACTGTTACTGCAAAATACTCTTGTTCTGAAGAAAGACAGGAGATAACTTGTTTCATTAATAATCCTCAAATTCATGATTTTGCAATTTTTCCAAATCTCTTATTAAAAACCTGAATTAATCTGATTTGATAAATTTGCCCAACCTTATTCCTTCCAAAGCAGTATCTCCATGGAGACAAGCGGGTGACGGACTTTCGCCAGAATATAGTTACATCGTGCACCTTTAAAACCCAAATTGTTGCCTGTATATTGTATTACATTATATTGTATTAAAATAGCAACATATTGTATTCTTTAATGTGATAATACAGTATCAATATTGTGGACTGCTGTATCAATATATTGCCAAAAGTATTTTTTGGTATATTTTACTAAATTATTTAGTTACAGAGCTACAGT